CATCCCTCTCCTCCTCCTGCGTCTGCTCCTCCTCCTTCTCCTCCTCCTCCTCCTCCTCCTCCTCTTCCTCCTCCTCCTGCGGACCTCCGAATTTTCACGTTTATGTCATTATTCGTTGCCCTCAACAAGGGCATACGCATCATTTCCCCTCAACAAAGGGCGCGCTGGGGCCCTCCTGGCGGCGCCTCCGGCGTCTCCCCTGGCGAGTTCCGCGCCCCAGGAGGCGGGTCCAGTGTCGATCCAAGGTATTCGCGCAGATCTCAAAGACATTGTGTTTCTGTATGTTTTTGTGTTCTGCGAGTGGCCGAGATTGAATGCGGAAACGTCGGTGTCAATCTTGGCCACCGTCCATCTCGGTCGGCGACAGCTCGCGGATCGTCCTCGCGACTCGGCGACGGTCAGCATGGGCCATGGCTAGAAGAACAAAAACACATAAACATAAACTTTTGGCGCTCCGCGCGGGTTTCTTGGATTCGCACTGGGCCCCCCTCCCTTGCGCGCCGAACGCGCCAGGGGCGGCGCCGGAGGCGCCGCCGGGGGGCCCATGCGCGGACCCCAAAAATTCGCGCGGAGCGCTTAAAGTGTATGTTTATGGCGTTATCTTCTTCGAATGACCAAGATCGGCGTCGACAGTATCCCGCGAAGTCATGGTCATCGTGTTTCTTCCCTCGACTGGAGCTCGTCGAGCGCGGGCGGAACGGGGGTGCCACCGCCGTGGGCGGGCATGGTCGGGCGCTCTGGCCCGCGCCCACCGGGCGCGCCACGAGGAGGCCAATACGGTTGCAAGGACGGAAGGTGGGCGGGAGGAGGGAGGAGCTAAGGAGGGGTGGGGGGGAGGGAGGGAGGGGGAGGGGAGTGGGGAGGGGGGGAGGGAGGGAGGGAGGAGGGGGGGGAGGGGGAGGAGGGAGGGGGAGGGAGGAGGGAGGGGGGGGGGGGGGGGGGGAGGGGGAGGCGGAGAAAAGAGGGAGGAAGGGGGGGACGGGGAGGGGGAGAGGAGGAGAGCGCACCGCAGGAGCGCGAGTCAGCAGGATTCTACCTCGGGCCTGCGCCGTGGGGCGGTCTGAATTGCCCCCAGGGCCTGCGGGCAGCCTCAGCACGAGATGGGCACGCGCGCGCGGGGGGACCTGGACACCGCGCGAGGCGCCAGGCCCCCGACAGTGGCCGCATCCCTCGCCCCGTACGGGAACGCATGAGGCCTAACCCCTCGCCGCCCGCGCAGGGGAAAAAAGGTAGTCTGAGCCTTCGCTGGGCAGAGGAGAAATGTACCAACCGACACAATACGGCAGTCTGCAGTTCGGAGCCAGCTCCTCGGCTACAACTGATGCAAACGCACCGATCTCGGCGCCCTCGTGGTTACAAACCGACACGCCTTGCCATGTCATGGCATAAGTCGGTTCTCATCTTTGCCTTCTCGGTGGCCACCGCGTTGACGCCACCCGTCGGTCGGAAGCAGTGGGTAGACACATGAAACAGGAAGGCGTTGGAAGTAGATTGGGCTTCCGCCCGCCCCCCTGGAGGGGAAAGAAAAGGTGACGCCGCTCGATCATTGAAGCAGGAGGGCGCCTAAAGTGGATTGGGGCTCGACGGTCCCCAGCTACCCACTTTCAACGACCGGCGAGCAAGCGGCCAGAGCCTGTGCAGCGCAGTGTAAAAATGAGAGCGGCGTGGAGGGGGGAGGAGAAGGAGGAGGAGGAGGAGGAGGAGGAGGAGGAGGAGGAGGAGGAGAAGGAGGAGGAGGGGCACGAGGAGGAGGAGGAGGAAGGAAGAGGAAAGAGGAGTACGAGTAGGAGGAGAAAGAGGATCATAATGGACCGCGCTGCGATGCCATCCACGCGGCTTCAATCACTGTCGCCGCTGTCATCACCGTCGCCACTCGACCCCTGCACAACGCGAGCACCAGCGAGCCCTGTAAGCCCCTGACCCTGGGCCCTGAGTCGAGCAGCGACACCCTCAAGCGAAATTACATTACCTGCTCTGGCAGCGGCAGCGGCAATGACAGCAGCCGCATCCTCGCCCGCGGGTGGGGCGCGGGCGCGGTCCTCGGGCACCTGCATCAAGTCGGCGAGCTCTTCAGACGAGCGGCTGAATGAGCAAGCCAGACACTCATCGATCACAGAGTCTTCCTTCAAAGAGGCACCACTCCAACCCTCAGTTCTTTCCCGATGGGGGCGGCGGGAGGGCTCTCGCAGCAGCGCCCTGGGCCGCCGCCTCTCGCAAGGCCGCAGGTGGGCCCCGATGGGCCGGGAAAAAGCACCCTTCTAATTCGCTTGAGAGTATCGCCCCCTTTTTTGGTGGGGAGGGCGCGCGCATTCTGAAGCCACCGACCGTCTGTCGTGGCAGTGAAACCACGCCCCTCGCAAAATGTCAGGCCGAATTTCCTCATTCTGGCGAGACGGTGGCCGGGGTGAAGCTTCGCGGCGCCGCGCCACGCCTCTCCCGAGATCGCCTCGAAACCCTCTCCATATTCTGGCATCGTACCCAGCGTGCAAGCAGAACCCGACGGCGGCGGCGGGATCGGATCGCGAGACTGGGTCGAGGCGACGGCGAGCACTTGGCTCCTCGGGACAATGGCATTACAAGCGTCACAGCGCCAGCGACAGGCGAACGGGCGACACTTGTGCGCACTATCGCGGATCGTCTGGTCACATTATGGTGGGCTTGCGGACCTTGGGCGGAGCTCTAACCCCTGCCCAAGGTTCAACCTCGAGCGCCAGCAGCATTGCCCTTCTGGCCCTTTTTCTCACCAGTGCCGCCGCCGCCGCCGCATCCCACGGGTCATTCCGAGGGGGGGGGGGGGGGGCGGGGCGCGCGTCGCTCCCAGGCCAAATGGGCCACCACCCCCGCATGGGCGTCGGCGCTGGCGTTGCCCCTGGCACATAAATATTTCAAACGGCGACGTGACCGACTGCAACTTGTCCTCCTTGTGGGAGGGGGTCCACCAAACCGAAGCGCCCCCAGGGCCACGGTTGCGCAGCGCTCGAGCCGCGCGGACCCAGAAGTCCCCGTTCGGGCCTCGAGGAGAGGGGGCACGGCCACCGTGCCAATCCGAAACCAGGCTCTTGCAATCGGTAGCGTAGCAAATCGGACCGTGAGACTGTTCAAGTGAAAGACCGAACGCCTGAAGCTCAGCTCTTAGAGCGGTTTGGCGCCGGCCCGGCAGAGCCTGTCCTGCGCCGCACTGAGGCGCCCAAGAGATGGGCGACGAAGGGTCCTGGCACATCATCGCCGTTGCCGAAGGAACGCCCCTGAGCCACGACGCCGGTTGGGCCGAGAAGCCCGCGAGGGCCTGGGGGATCAAAAACTCCGTTTTCGATAAATTCGCCATGCCCGCAATTGGCTGGGCATAACCAAACACGATGTGCTAGCGTTTCTGGCTGCTCTTTGCGTCGGGGGCGCAGCGGCGAGCAGGCGTATCCTGCGGCGATCTGCCGCTCGCGAGTCCACTGGCCCCCCGAGATGAGGGCAATGTCGGCGGCCCTCTCGTCGAACTTGGACTGGGCAGCGAGGCGGTTGAACTCGATCTGCGCCGTCTTCATGTCAGCGCCTGCTGCCATATCCTCGCCAGCCTCATGGTGGGCCGCCTTCTTCCACTGCAGCTGCGCACAATCGCCCATGAAAGCTCCGAGCATATCTTCAATGTGCGAGGCTACAGCGGTCGCAAACTGCTCGTCACCAAAAGCTGGGAACAACCAATCATCAATCGTGCCATAAGGTAACGGCCGTGACCATGCATCAGGACTCTGTGGGTCCTAGCCAATCTGCAGAAGAGTGGCCTGCACCGCGGCGATGGGGCCGCGCGCGTCCTTCTACTCCACAATCTGCCGCCCAGCAGCTCCACGACGCAACTTGGCAATACTGATCGGCCACATCTTACGGATGCGAGGGTGGGGCGTCGGCTGGGAGAACCACGCAGCGATCCACTCCTTTATCATTTGCCTCCTCAAGTCGATACCATGATAGGAAACTCCGAACACAGCTTGCAATGCATAATTCAAACACCTGCCACGCTTGGCGCCAGCAGCACTCGCTGCAGCATCGCGCCTCGAAGCCAACAGTGACGATGGAGGGTTCCCATAACATGAGGGCCGCAAACAGCTGCAGGTAGCGCTCCGGTGCTGTAGAGCTTCTTGGTGCTGAGCCTGGTCTTGGGAAACTGTCGCAAACGCATGGCCTTGCGCTTCCTCCGTCGAGCCTGTGCACGTCGCTTCATCGTTCTGGGTGCAATCCTCCGTCGCCCTGCAGCAGCACCAGATCACAAGTCGACAATGGAGCGCGCGAGCTGCACAGGGGTACATATGCGAACCAACCGTCTCTGTAACTCCATACCAGTCATCAGAACTGGCAACTCATTTCGTTTTGGCAGAGGTCTTGAGTCTGAGCTTCTTGAGCCCAGCAGCCATGGCATCAGCGGAGGCGTCTAAAAGATCAATCACTTGCTGCTTCTTGCTCTCTGCGCGACAGACCACATCATCAATGTAGCTCCACAGGCCAGACGGAGGGCAAGCGCGGTGGACCTCATCCGGCAGCTGATGAAGCATGACTTTGGCAAGCGGGACTCCATGCCCAGACCCAGCTACAATCGAACGTGAGACTACCGAGGCACCCGAAATCATCTGGGCTTTCTTCAGCAGCCTGGGCGCCGAATGAAGTCCAACTTCCAATGGAAGAATGATAGCAAGGAGCCCAATATTCAAAACAGCCTGCAAGACCAGCACGAACGACACCGAATTGTAAAACTTGGCGAGATCCAAGAACAAAACCGCGTGCTCGAAGGAAAGAGCGCCGGCGCCTTGATCCATCACTGCCCTGATAAGTGCAGAACGAAGCGCTGGCGATCCAGCAATCGCACTATCCCAGAAAGCAGATTGGACAGCAGACCATTCACATGAGTACTTCGCACGCACCTTGGACAATTTTTTGCGCGGCGTCGGCCTGCTTCCTTGGGGGTCGCAGCTCCAAGCGCCTGAGGGGCGACGGCCAGGCTCCAGCCGGCTCGATACTGTTCAATATATCAGCTGAGCTCTGCCTCGCCACCAGCGGCTGGCGCTGAACATCTGCGGGATTGAGCGCGCCACCCCCTCTTCGCCTTTGTCGCAGGCAGCGAAGGCAACGCGACGTCGACGTCCAGGATGGTGATCGGGGAAAGAGGTGCCTCTCGAGCAGCTGACAAACACTGGCCCATCATTTGCAATATCTGCAGGCTTATCCACTGGATCGCTCTACATTGCGCTCCATTCAGAAACGGCTGTCTGGAGTAACCTCTGCTTGTCCGTCGCGATCGCGCCAGTAGAATCACTGCCCTCCCACTCCAAAGGAGGGGCCTGCTTGACATGCCGACGTGCAGCTCCAGGCTTCGACGTCCGGGGCTCCTTTGCCCACTTCATGAAGGACGCGCGTGGAGCTAACAAAGCCCGCGACGACGACGAGCCCGCCCACTTCCGCGCGGTGTCCACCAGGGAGGGGAGCTGGCCAACTGGAACACGATCCAGGTCAGCAGCCATCGCTTTCCACAACTCGATCTCCTCTGCTGTGGACTTCTCGCCGAAAGACTCCGTCGTCTTATCGGCAGGTGACGATCCAATCCCGGCCAGAACCTCGCGCGCGCAATTAGCGGCGCGGTCGTGATCAGCCCCGCTCGCGTGAATGGCCGCATGCCGAAACAGCGAAGTGCTGACTGCGCCCCACGCTTGCTCATTATTCATGTGTGCACGCCCTGGGGAAGAAGCGACCTGGGCCCAATGGCAACCTGGGCCACGAGCCCGACCTGAGCACTGCATCCAAGCGCTGGCCTCCACCTGCTCGTGCATCAAGGTCGCGCGCTCCAGCGTGGAGATCCAAGCGCCGCGGGGCGCGCCCAACTGGGCACGCGCAGCAGGTTGCCATTCAAATCAAATTGCGGTTCCCGATCAAAAGCTGCAGCCTTGCCTCGAGATCCTCCTTGCCGGCCATCATGGAGCTGAGGGGTGCCTTCCCAGCGCAGCTGGGTCTGAGCTTCAAGCCACGAGTCCTCAGGGATGGCGAAAGACGCAGACGGTGCAGGCGGCGAAGCTGGCGGCTCCAGCTCGTCGAAGCCCTCCTGCAGCTCGATGGGAAGCGACTGCAGGCGCCGCTGTCTCTGCTTCTCGCGCATCTTGGACCGCTTGCTCTCAGGATCTGCCACCGCCACTGGCCGTTCACGCGCGGGAACAGGCTTGGGCACCGCGAGGCGCCGATGCCATCGTTGAGTGCGAGCCGCCTTCACCGATGCGTCTTCATTGGGGCGCGAACTTCAGACTTGAGCTCTAACTCTGGACATCCAATGCTCGCAAAACCATAATCGCGCGTGCGGCCAAGTCCCTTGTCGCACGTCATGCTGCAGCTGGGCGCCACCGCGACGGAACCGAACTTCTGGGGCCGACATGTGTCTCGGAAGGCCGCGGGCTCGATGGCCCGGTCCGCCGTCACCAGCCGCGGATCTGCAAGCGCTCGCGTGAACGCCGCCGACGCCAACGCCAAGGACGTCGTTGTTCCAACCCTTCACTCCGAGGCCTGGCTGAAGGTGGGCGGCGAGCAGGACCAAGTTGCCGCCCTTGGTGCGGATCACCGTCGGCGCGAACTCGCGGCAGGGGCCCAGGCGCCGAGCAGCGCGCGCCGACTGCCAAGCTCTCGCAAGGCTCGACGTCGCCACATTTTCTTCGCGAGGATCCACTCGCCGCCAGACAAGCCGCTCTCGGACTTGCCCGAAGGGCGAGCGGCCGTGTAGGCCAAACGCCAACCGTCTTTATCAATCGACTGACATATGTCTGGCGCGTCGTTCTCCCCCGTTTGTGTCTCAACAAGGGCCGCGATGCAGCGCTCCTGCTCCCGGGCCAAGAAACGCGCGGCCTGCGGGCTCCACTCCGTCGTCGCCGAAGAGAATCTCCAAAGACGAGGCGTCCTCGGACTCATCATGAAAAGGTGCCCCTGCAGTCTCGCCCCTGCAGGGCGGGCTCGCCGCCGTGCTAAACGTGGCCCGTGCTAGCGCCGGCAGCAGCAAGGCCCTCGCCAGAGCCCGCAGCGCCGCCTTTGCCAGAGATAGCGGCCTTGCTAGCAGCGGCCTCGCGCGCCTGCGCCTGAGCGCTGGCCTTGATGCGCTCGAGCATGGCCTTCTGGTCGCTCTCCTGCACCGCGATCCTCGACTTGCTGGGCCCAGCGGCGGCAGCAGCGGCGCCGGGCGTCGCGGGGGCGCCTGAGGCCGCAGCCGCGCCACCCGCTCCGCCTTCGACGGCCTCGCCATCGGGGCCGCGCGCGCGCCGCTTGGCCGCCGCCGCGCACGCTCCAGCAGAGCCTGGAACTCCTTCTGCTCCTTGTGCTTGGCCTCCGCCTGCTGTGTGACGTCCTGCAGCTGCTTCTGGAACTGCTCGAGCGCCTGCTTGTCGTTCTCCTCGAGCTCGTCGAGGCTCTCGAGAAGCTCGGGGTCCACCCCGAACAAAGACTGCTTGGCCGTCTCGGGCGGGTTCGCAGCCACCTGCACCTCCATGCAATGCAGCTCGGCTGCCATGACCGCGGCGGCGGCCTCGTCGAACTTGGACTGGGCCTTCTCGAGCTGGAGGCGTGCTCCAGCGACTTGGCAGCCCTCTCCAATGCCTCCTGCTTGCGCGAGCAATCTGCCGTAGCCTCCTTGAGCTGCGCATGCGGGGGCTTGAGCGGCGCAGGAGCCGCCACCAGCTTCTGGGACGCCAGGGTGCTGAACTCCGTCGCCAAGCGCGTCGCGTCGGGGTCCCCAGCGAGCCCAGCACCCGCGAGAGCCTTCGACAGGTAATCCCCGAGATTCGCGAGCGACGTCTGAGGCAGCCCATGCTCATGCCACCCGCCGCCCGAGGACCACGGCGCCCACCACGTGCCGCTCGCAGTGGTGCTCCATCCTGGCTGAGGTGTGTTGCAAACCGCGCACACCCCTTTCTGCTTCTGGAGTACAGTGCACGCAAGTCGAGAAGCTCTGCTTGCCATACTTGACCATCCGCTCCAGCAGGATCTCATAAACTTTGCCCCGGCAGGAACTCACAAAAACATGTCAGACTGGCTCGGGGGACAGAGCTATCCCAGTTTGGCACGGAGGCGCAGAGCCCCCTCGGTGCATCACCCTTGAGCCACAATGGCGACGGAGGAGGAGGAGGAGGAGGAGGAGGAGGAGGAGGAGGAGGAGGAGGAGGAGGGAGGAGGAGGAGAGAGGAGAGAGGAGAGAGGAGAGAGGAAAGAGGAGAGAGGAGAGAGAGAGTAGGAGTAGGAGTAGGAGTAGGAGTAGAGGTAGGAGTAGGAGTAGGAGTAGGAGTAGGAGGAGGAGGAGGAGGAGGAGGAGAGGAGGAGGAGGAGGAGAGGAGGAGGAGAGGAGGCGGACAAGCTAGGTGCGCTCGCGTCATATCTGGCGTCCTACCCCTCCCTCCCATCCCTTACCATGGCGGTGATTTTCTCTATCCGCGGACGCGTGTCGTAGCGGACCTGTGGCTCCGCGCGCGCGTGCGTAGTGGGTGGTGGTGCGCGTGCGTGCGTGCGTGCGTGTGTGCGTGGTTGTGGTGGTGGTGTGGTGGTGGTGGTGCTGGTGGTGGTGGTGGTGATGCTGGTGGTGGTGGTGGTGGTGGTGGTGCTGGTGGTGGTGGTGGTGCTGGTGGTGCTGGTGGTGGTTGTGGTGGTGGTGGTGGTGGTGGTGGTGGTGGTGCGGCGCGGTGGTGGCGGGCGGATGAGCGCGCGAGAAAGAAGCCCGCGCTGGGGCGAGAACGCCATCCTGAACGACGGAGGCCAAACACCGATCCGAAAATGAGGCCCACGCTGCAGCGGGAGCACGATTCGGAACGATTCGGGAGCAGAAATGAGGCGGGCGCCTTAGCGAGAGCAACATTTTGAAAAAACGCAAGCGAAAACCCGTTTCCCGGGAATCCTGTGTAAAAAAACATACGCGGGGGGGGGGGTCGGATATCTTCGGGACGCCATCAGGGGAAGTGAGAGAGTATTTTCATATTGTGTAATTGTGGAGGAGGAGGAGGAGGAAGGGGAGGAGGAGGAGGAGGAGGAGGAGGAACGAGGGAGCGAGGAGGGAGGAGTAGTAGTAAGAGGGAGGGAGGAGGGAGGAGTTGTCCAGCAGGGGCCCCGCCCCACGGCTCCTTCGCCTCGTCGTAGGGAACAACCTTCTTGGAGGAGAGGTCGCACTTGTTGCCCACCAGCAGCTTGTTGACGCCGTCCGCGGCGTACTTGTCGATCTCCTGCGCGCGGGCCGCCTGTGCATCCTGGTTGTGCGACGCTATGTCACCTATGCGTCGTGCCTCGTCCTCTTCCTCGTCGCACCCATGCCCCTTTACGTCCTCCTCCTGCCCCCATCCCTCTCCCCTCGCCCTCCTCCTCCCGGGCTCCTCGTTCTCCCTCTTCTGATCCTCCTTCCTCCTCCTCCTCCATCCCATCGTCCCCCACATGGAACCGTCTACCCCTTGAGGAAGAACACCGCGTTCCAATCCTCCTCCCCCTGTGCCCCGCGGGCTCCTGCATCCAATGCTTCACGTTCTCGAACGACTGCTTATCGGTGACGTCGTAGACGACGATGATGCCATGGGCGCCGCGGTAATAACTGCTGGTGATGGTGCGGAATCGCTCCTGCGGGCGTGAGCCGGTCAAACGCACCCCATCCTCCACCTCTCCTCCTTTTGCTCCTCCCCACCTCCCCATCATATGGTACCACTGCTGTTCCTCGTGCCTCTCCTCATGCACCTCATCATCACTTACACTATCACCATCAGTATTGCTGTAATCATCACCATCTGCAGCGGCGTCATCAGCACCACCATTGTCAACATAATCGCCTTCACCACCACCACCACCACCACTACCACCATCTCAGGGTCATGCTTCTCATTTTGTGCATGATATCCCTGCAGCTGCTGCATATCGTCCCCTCGTGTCTGCACTCTTTTTATCTCTTCCACTGACATATTCATGTGACACTGACAGCAAGCTGGCTAATACTTACAAGCGCTGAATCGGAGGAAACAACCCAATCAGTGGATGGTCCAGAAGTTTTGCAAGCTTCATGCATGGCCGCAGGTTCGCAAGAGGGCCCTAAGAGACTAACTCATTGATTGCCCTTGCGTGTTGGAAGGGTTGTGGCATCCTCACCATTTCGGGCATCCGTCGGCTCAAAACTGCATGGGAGGTGGTCTCCAATACTGCCCCAGGACGGCGCACGAGGGGCTCAAGATGACCCAGGCGGGCCTCCAGAGGTACCCTCGACGGCCTGAGAGGACCCCTCGACGACTCAAGAGGGCCACATTACGTCCCCACAACGGCTCAAAAAAAAACATCAGCATCAGCAAAAAACAGCCGCCCGCCAAGAACCACCCACCGAAATCGCCCGGCTACTTTCGCGAATCGCCTGAGGGGGCGCACACCAAGAGCCGCCCACCGAGAGCTGCCCGCCGAAATCGGCCGGCTACTTTCGTCAATCTCTTCTATGTCCGCTGAGACCCCTTCAGTGTAAACATTGATGGGGGAATCTGTATATCTATACATGCATATGTCTGTCTGTATGTATGCGTGTACATCTATATTTGTATAATCTTTATATATATATATATAATGTGTTTGCAGAGTCGCGCTGACACATATTACAGCGCTGCGCTGATCTGCCCTGGTACTGCGATGCCATGTGTTGCAAGGCATTGCGAATCATAGCATTGTGTTACTCTCAATGGCTTTACTTTGCAACATGTATCGTACTTTGATGCGTGTTGATGTGGTTTGCTCGTAATTCGCGGTGCTGGTGTTGCTTGGTTCAGCGTTACTTTGCTGTTGAGGTGCAGCATATTGCAAGACATTGCATTGTAAATCTTCGTATCTGGGTTACACTATACTGCACTTGTACACTATTGCGTTATAGCGAGAAGCACGGCTATGCAAACCAGAACAGCGCGACGCACTGCAGTGCAAAGCTTCGCGATGCAAGGCATGGCGATGCAAACCAAGCGCAAAACACTGACACACCACAAAGACGTGCAAAACCATGACGTGCACAGGAACGCGATGCAAAACAGTACAAGGTGAGACAACGCAGAGAAATATAATGCTGCGCAATGCCAAACACCGCAACACAATGCAGGGCAAAACAACGCAATGGAAAGCCCTGTTATGCAATGAAGCGCAATGCCGATCAGTCCTCATGCAACGTTGTGAGAATTACACTACGCAGACTCGGAGCGCAACCTAACCTAAGGCAACAGGAAGCAACGTCGAAAAATGCAAAGCAATGTAATCCATATACAACGTCGATGCAATCCAAAGCAATGCACAAGAACGCAAATGCAACACACATCAAATCCGCGGGCGCCCCCCTTCGGGGCCAACAGGCATCGAGGACTAGGCTGCCCAATTCCCTGCAACAGTTCCACCTTCCCAGTTACAGTTGATGCCACTCCACAAGAAACCTTCCACAAGAAACCCAACCTGGAGAGAGACCCCAGGACGTCCATGGATTTGGGTGTGGGAGCGTCGCGCTTTCCATCGCAAAACCCTCGAAACCCAAGAAACAACAAGGGCACCCTGGAGGCACGCAGGTTGTGTCTTGGCATGGCCCCCCACTGTACACACATATATATTTCTATATATATATATATACATATATATATATATATATATATGTAGCGACTGACCTCCACGCGAAGGGGGGAGCCCGAAAGCCATGCGGCTCCCCTCCCCGAATCGCAGCTTCTTCAGCATTTCGAGGGGATCCTGGGACACGTAAACATACAGCGCGCTCCCCAACCCAGAATCTTGGGCAGGCTTAAGTCGGGCCTGTCCTCCTACAGGGGGATTTTGGACGAAACATAACACATAACCTAACGATACCCCCAAATGGTCAAAACATACTTTAAACAAAAATCCCCAGGCTTTTTTAAAACTATTTTTGCATTTTCACCCTGCAGAGGGACATGCCCGACTGCAGGGTAGGCAGACGCACGAGGGCACCCTCCCTCGAAAGCGCGACGCGCGCGCTCCCGAGGCCACAGCCCTTCGTGAACTGCCGTGCGCCAGGCTCGCGCTCCCCAGCCCACGACCACTCCTACTCCTCCTCCTCCTCCTCCTCCTTTCCTCCTCCTCCTCCTCCTCCTTCTCCTCCTCCTTTCCTCCTCCTCCGCCCAGTCCACAGTCTTTGGGTGATTACGCTCAACCCATATAGCAAAGACGAGGGATAAGGATGCAAGGGCCTTGGAAGGCCATCTCGAAGCTTCTCGGGCACAGCGCGGCCAACGAAACCGGCCAAGGATGGGCCGAGGAGGCAAGGATGCAAGGATACCCTTTGGGAAGGTTGCCCATCCTTGCTATGCGGGTTGACTGTGCAAACCGTTCGCGCTCCCAAAGCCACAGCCCTGTATAAAAAAAACGAGACGTGCTCGCGCCCGCGAAGCCAATAACCCCTTTGTACAATCCAACAGCCGTTGCGCTCCCGAGGCCACCATTTCCCTGTCCCTTGCGCCGGGCTTGCGCGCTTCCCGTGCCACAAGTCCTGGTGATTTCCAATCGGTTTTATGTCCCCGGACGTCCGCCTCCTCCTCCTCCTCCTCGTCGTCCTCCTCCTCCTCCTCCCTCCTCCCTCCTCCTCCTCCCCTCCCCTTCCTCCTCCTCCTCCTCCTCCTCCTCTTCCTCCTCCTCCTCCTCCTCCTCCTCCTCCTTCTCCTTCTCTTCCTCCGCCTCCTCCTCCTCGGGTCACCTACGGCCCCGGGGGAGACCGTGCACTCTCCCGTCAGTCGCCGGCGTCAGCTCTCTCAGGGCTGGGTTCCTTGTGGCTTCCGAGTTTCATAATGAGCGTCGGGGGGCGTAACCCCCGCCGACAGCCCCACATCGACCCCCGTCGCGGGCAGCCACCCCCGCGCCGAAGGCGCTCCGACCCCCCGTCGCGGCGCGACGACGAGGCGAGGCTGAACCCCCGTCGGGGAGGTACCCCCCACGCTGATGAAGAGACCCAAAACAATTACGTCTTGGCGCCCCCGCGGCCAATCCGTCGCCGCCGAGAGCTGCCCCAGAGCCCGCGCTCCCCAGGCAACCAGCCCCAACGAACTGCGACTCGCCCCTCGAGCAGGTTACGGCACGCCTGCGCCCTCGAAGCCGCGCCCACCTCGGCGGTGGAAAAACCTCCCTGTAGTAAAGCTCCCCGTGATAAAAAAAAAAAAACGGCCCAGGACCAAAACCGACGGACCTGGACCCGCAAAAATGACGGCCGCGACGCCATCTCGCGAGCCGAAAGCGGCCAACTCCTTCATCGACGTGCCAGGCAGCCAGTCCTAGCGAACTGCGACTCTCGCAGCCTCCGAAGCCGTCGCCACTCGTGCAAGTTGCGGCACGCCTGCGCCCGCGAAGCCGCGCCCCCCTCGGCGGTGGACAAACCTCCCTTCAACGAACCTCCCCTTAATAGAAAACGGCCCAGGACCGAAACCGACGGACCTGGACCCGCAAAAATGACGGCCGCGACGCCCTCTCGCGGACCGAAAACGGCCAATTCCGTTATCGACACGCCAGGGAAAAACGGGGAGGAGGAGGTAGGAGGAGGAGGAGGAGGAGGAGGAGGAGGAGGAGGAGGAGGAGGAGGAGGAGGAGAAGGAAGAGGAGGAGGAGCAAGCAAACAAACCTCGGGAAATCCACATCTATCCTGCTCTGACTAAGCTGCACAGCTATCGCCAAGTACTCTACTCGAGTGCAGATGGATTCTGAGACGGGGTAAAGCCACCCCAACCGGGAGGAAAAACAAATAATAGCTCCGTAGACCCTGCCTGCGCTCCCCTTCGGGGCACAGGCCCGCGAGCAACCTCCCTAAGGCACGCAAAGGAGGCGCCCACTCAGGCGCGAGAGCCTCGCCCGCCACCGCGTCGTCCGCGCCCGCCACGTCTGCCTGGCGCGCCACGACCGTGGCCAGGTAAATCAACTAGCGGAGCCGCAGGCATAGCTTCGTCGGCATAGTTGCTTACCAGCGCGGCTCCCGATCGCGCCCGTTCTGCGGTCTCGGCATTCATGCTGCCTCGCGCCTCCAGCTCCGCCAATCGTGCCGGACTGCTGAAAACTGCCCCCGTCGCCTGTCCGTGCCTCCTACACGGATCGCCAGGGCGGAGCGGTCTCCTTCGCATGATTGACCATCTTCGCGATCTCCCTCTCGAAGAGGCCCCTGCGGGCCAAGCCGTGGACTGCCGTCGCCCCCTCGTAGCCCAGCGCCTTCATGATGTAGGGCCTGCGCATGGAGGCCAGCTTCGTGTCCTTGTTGCAGTTCGTGATGCTGAGGCGCTGCTGCTCCTGGCCCTCCTCCTTGCACAGCGGTTTCAGCCTGAAATAGAGCACCGCCTCCGCTATGCTCCCCATGTCGCTCGACGCGATGCGGTTCTCCCAGCGCTGCTTGGCCTCGAGCGCGTTGGTCTATCCTTGTCCTGGCCCGCCGCTGCCGCGCGCTCCGCCGCGTGTTGGAACGCCGCCAGGAAGACGTGGCTGTGTGGCGGCCCGCGCTGCTTGCACTGCTCCTGCGTGGCGTTGGCCGACCTCATCGCCTTGCTGCCCTCCTCGTACTTTTTGCCCGCCTTCTGCGCGGCCGCGGGGGGGCCCCGCGAGAAAGGCATCGCGCG